TGAGGGAGTCAGTCTTAAGAGTGTTTGGCACTGAAGGGAAAAAGGAGTGAGAGTTATAGGGAATGAACAGGCCCTAAAGAGGCAGGATGCTGTTGTAACAATGGCTGGCACAGTTGGGGGGGCCATTCACTGGTGGAGATTGCCATAGGCATTGATGTGAAGAAGCATATGTGAGCAAAAGAGGCAAGGGTGAGAAGGGAAAAGCAAGCAAATGTTATCAGAAGGGTCCTGTTGGCAGAAAGAAACAAGAGTAATCCAATTAGACTCATCTTAATATTAATGTGTTTATGATGAAGAATATATTTTATTTCTAATTTATCTTATAGCCTATTTCCTAACTTTATTTTATTCTCTCTTTTAAAATATATGCATTTACCTTTCCCCTAAAGAGACAGATCCTTAAATTAAGAGAACTTGGTTTTGTATTCCATCTGTTCTACTTAGCAATGAGCTGATGTTGGGCAAAGCCTTCTGAGCCTTAGTTTCCTCATCTGCAAGGTGAATATATATGCCACTGACAAACATGTTGTATCTGGCAGCATTCTATAAATGGAAATGCTGTGCAAATAGTAATTATTAACTCTCACGCTTATTTTTAATATAGTTCAAAGGTAATCATGATATTCCAGTGCTTGGGAGAATGAACTCTCAGGTGAAGGAATTTTCAGGAGAATCTTAGTGTAAAGTGCAAAACATGACATATTTTAACACAAAAATAGGTGAAACTCATAAATATATACACCTACTATGTACCCAAAAAAATTTTTAAAAATTAAACTCCAGAATTTAAAATTTGTGAATAACTAGGTACCCTACATACCATACTCATAGTACAAAATACAATTCTATATGTGTGCATTTAAAAAATATTATTTTAGAAAATTAAATATTTAATAGGTAATTACTATCTATTCACTCCATAAGCAGTGAAGCAGCACTTATATAATTGTGTCAAATTTCACTCTACTCATATTCACACATTAACCAACAAGCGTATTGTAAATATTGAGCTTTTGCCATTTGGTCCTTTACAGTTTGAAATGTGAATTTTTTACTAGATCTTTACCATTTTCAGAGAAATTTAATCACTGCTACATGTCCATTAATTGTGCTCATTATTGTGAGATCCATTTCTACTGTTTTTTCAAGAACTATCAGTGAAAACAAATGGAAACTGTAGCAGTTGGTAGATTATTGAATGTGGATTTTTTTTTGAAGCTCTTTACAGAAATTCAGAGAGAGGGGTGAAGTGGGTGAAATGATGTCCTCATGATCCCCTTCCCTCCTCACTCCCACACCCCTTCTATCCAGTGTCACTGTCTCAGAGAGAACCTAGGTTGTTTGACTTATAGCCCAATATTCCTTCTACCATGTAAGTAAAAAGAATCATTTCATTGTATATCTCTGCTATGTACTCATAGGATGTCACTAAATTATCCAGAATCCTAGAGTACAAGGCATATAATTGGAACACACCCTAAAAAGAAAAACTATGAAAAATCCTGCCTTTTAATTTCATAGTTGCTGTTCATACATATAAGTTACCCTAGAAAATTCATCAAGTTATTACTTCATCCAGCCAAGGGAGTTAATAAGAATTGTTTTTTCCTACTACTCTGGATTGTTTTGTAGATGAAATGAGGGAATATGTATGTGTGTGCGTGTGTTAGTTTTGTGTTGCTATAACCAAATAACACAGACTGGATGATTTATAAAGAAAAGAAATTTATTACTCACAGTTCTGGAGACTGAGAAGTCCAACCTCAAGGTGCTGGCATCTGGTGAGGGCCTTCTTGCTGCATCACCCCAAGGTGGAAAGCAGAAGAATAAGAGAGTGCACACATGAGAGGCAGATGGAACTTGTACCCTGAAGTCTTTCTTTAATCAGCCTTAATCCATTCATGGCTAGAGCCCTTTTGACCTAAATAGCTCCCAGGAGGCCTCACCTCCCTTCTGAATTAGGGATTCAAAATTGAAAATTTTGAAATTGAAATTGAAAATAAATTTTCAACATATGCTTTTAGGGGTACCCATTGAATGTATGTGCTTCAAAGAACAAAGATTTTTGGGATCCAATAGGTTAAATTTTTAGGGGTACCCATAGCAATGTATGTGCTTTAAAGAACAAAGATTTTTGGGATCCAATAGGTTAAATTTAGCTCTGCATTGGGTAAATCATGCTAAGTTCCTATGTTTTTGTTTCTTAAATGGTAAAACAGAGGTACTGATATCTAATTCAACAGATTACTGTGAGAAGTATGAGATACCACATGTAAAGGACCTGGTACCTTGCTTAGCATTTAGCCCCCTAAATAGTAGCTATGGTATCATTTTGTTGTTGATAAGAGAGTTAGGAATTTGTACGAAAAAAACTTAGTTCAAGACCTCAATACTGCCCGTTACATTTTGTGGAACCTCAGACCAGTCCTCTTTCTTCTTTTTGCTGCTGCTGCTTCACCTTTTTAAACCTGTAACATAGATGTAATAACACAATCTAAGTCTTCATTTGGTTATTATGATTAAATAAGAGAATACAGATAAAAACCTCTAGTATACTTCCTGGCACATAGGCTGCTATATAAATGTATTTTAATCTAAATTTAAAGTATATACCTCATCCAAGTTGTAAGTATTAGTGTCTTTATTCATCCACAGACATGACAACCCTGAGTTAGATATGTCTCTGCTTTTACATTTTCCAAATAACTTAGTCTTTACGAAGTTATTCATTTTTTTTTTTTTTTTTGTAGTATATGCTTAAAAGTCAAGTACTTGAACAAACTGGCTCTGTTTACCAGCCTTATAGCTTTATGCTAGTTAATAAAGAGGCCAGGAATGTTCTGCAGGTTTCAGAAAATCTGGCTGCTGTTTCTTTAACTCTGCAACTTAGACAGAAGACTTCTGTTTCTTTATGAGCACACTACAGTGAATATTTTGTCTAGCTGCAGGGGAAAAGCTTTGTCATGGACTTTGCAGACAATAGCCTTAAAAGTAAAATGGTCTGCTTTTGGTGCCTGGAGGTTCAGGGGCCTATTGTTAGTTCACAATGGATTTCTATTGCTGCATTCCTGCTTTGCAAAGGTTTGTTAGCTTTTAATGACTGACAGTACTCGGTTGCAAATACCATATTGGCTGTGCCCTGTTTACATGCTACTCAAGAATTTTTGTAGAGTGCTGGAAAAAAGAAACAGTGATGTTTGTTTGACCTACTCTGATAAGGTTTAAGAAATAATTTCACTCTCAAACCGTTTACTGGAAATGTAGAAATGTTGGAAGTTATTGCAAAAGTATTTTAAAGTTACTTTTAAAGCCTCAGTGAAGAGAAATACTGGTTACAATATGAAGATAATTACCCTGTTTTATTTCTCCTAGAATTGCTGTTAATATTCTGAAATAATATAGAAATTGGGATTTTAAAAAATAATTCAAAGTAAATAATTCAGTATTAGCTCTTAAATGTGAAAAATAGAGCTATGTAGTTTGTTCGAAAGGAAAAAATTCATTTTTCATTTATACAACTTCATTCATTCATTTCAAATTCATTACATAGGTAAATGTGCATATATTATTTGTTGTAAGTATATATACATGTTTGCACATATGTATATATGTATACATATAGACTATGTAAAAGTAATCATTCAGAGCTTTTCACCATTTTATTTTCCACAAGTTTCTGACATGTGAAACAAAAGTGTTCCATAATGTTATACTTTTTTTCCATGGAAAATTGCATCCCTGCTTTGTTCAAAACTCCACATAGGCTTTGTGACTGCTAGCTGATTGCTGTAAAGATGGGGCCCTGGAAAAAGTAGATAGCATTAGCTAAACATGATAAAGAAAACTCTTTAAAATGTATTTTACTGTGGGGAAAATTAACCAGTTTCTAATAATATTGTGGTGTCTAGGCCAGACGGTCCCTTTGATAAGTTAACACATACTCCCTTTATGCTCCTAGTGGGGGGTAAACAAATGCCTGAACAAACACAAATACACATAAACACCAATGTGGAGAATGGCAGTGTATGTCTTAGATCTATATAATAAGTGTGGGTATTGTTATTTAGATGGAGCATACTGGGACACTTATCTTTTAGTACATTCCATTTTCTAAGTGAATGCAGTACTAATCGTGGGATTGAAAGCCATTGTAATTGTGTACCCATCTAAATGCTGACTAGAATATACAATTATATTGTTTGAAACTGAGTTTAATGTTTGGGAGTTTTTATTAGCATTTATATTTACTTATACATTAAAATTCAACATAAAAGGAAAGGTCAAAAACTATGTTATATGTAGAAACAAATAGCGGACTACAGCAGACCTTGCTTTCTAAAATGTGTGTGCCCTGTCCCAATACAGGGCATTATAAAAGAGTGTGATACAAATCTGAAATAAGCAAATAATAGGTTTCTGTTATAGGTATTTCTCACTTCTCTAGATTTTGCAATCTTTTTAAAGCTTCTTTTATACTTTTTTTTTTTTAATGTTCGCGGTACTGGCAAATATTGCCACAGTGTGCTTACCACCACACGATGTTAAACACATATTATAAAGTGGATGTAATTGTAAACACACAGAGGGATATAATTACATGTAGCAGATTTAAGAGCTAATTCTTTGCCTTTTTTTACTCTGCATTTTATCAACATAATTATTTTTTGACTGCAGACTAACACCCTGAAATTGACAAGCATCCATTATAGCAAGAATTTGTTCACCAAATTGAAAAACAATGAACTGCAAGGTTTATGTGTACCCATTGTCATAAAGAATTAGTATGGCTTTGTTCCGCAAGAGGAAAAAGCTAATGATTTTGAAACAGCAGGTGACAAAACACATTCTTTTTTTCCACCCCTGTTATCAGTTTTTTGATGAAGCCATTATGAAGTGAGGCTGGGATAGGGATGGCCTTATTTTTAGCAGATAGACTTTTAATGAGCTTCATTGTAAGGAGAGTCATGTTGATTTGCTTACTTCTTTTTTTCTTTACTTAGAAACCCCCAGTATTGAAAAGCTACTCTCAAAGGACTGGAAAGACAAGCTTCTTGCGATGGGATCGGGGAACTTTGGCGAGATAAAAGGTAATATAGTGTGATATTTTGATCCAAAATGTGCCAAAATGAAGTTGAGATTCAGGAATATTAATAGTGATAAAGTATTTTTGCCCTCACCCCCTTCTGCTTCTTGCGTTCTCTGTGTTTGGGGTTCCTTCTTTCTATCTTGAAGGAGAATGTAGCAGGGTTCTTTTATCCTTTTCTCTTTGTGCCTTATAGAATAAATGATACTTTGTTTTCATAGAATCGCCCCACTATACCTCAAACAGGCTCTGATTTTCATAATTTAAAAAATTTATTTATTTTATAAGTAAGAATATACCTACAGCAAGGTTAAAAACTGTATGTTATACGATGATTTTGTACATTTTACATTCAGGAAATATGGGTGTGTATGACCTACATTTAAAACCAGAAATGATGAATGGGGAGGGCATAATAAAAGGTTGTTTTGTACCAATCAGGGTAACAATTTGTTTGGTTTTATTTGAATCAACAATTACATCCAACTAAAAAATTCTATAAAAATATTCATATCTTAATAAACTCCTAATAACAAGGGGAGAAGATTTAATTTCCTCATATAAAATAAAAGCAAATTATCCTTTCAATTAATTTAAAAGTATGTTTTCTCGAAACATTAGGCAATCTGCAGTTTCCTGTTTGTTGCTAGTGGGACACTTAAGATTTTGAGTTCTTTTTTTTTTGAGATGGAATCTGAGTACTACAGTAGGATTAATTTTGAAAAAGTCATCAGTATAAAATATTTAGTTATATATTGCTGTGTACATTTTTGGTAGAGGCCGAATATATATTGAAAACATCACCAGACTTATATTAATATACATGTAGAAATAGAAGTATAAATAACTTTCTTGCAAATGTGTGTCTGTGCAAGTGTTTTCACAATGAGAGAAGCAATTGTCTCTCTTAAGTCTCTACTCTATCAGCGTATCCTGGAAAAAGGCAAAGCATCGGTCTTAAATGTTTGGCCTACGTGACATTAACATCTGGATATCTAGAAACTTCCAGAAAACGTTTGACTGAATATTGCATTTTTCATGCAGATCATTTGGAATTATATATATTTAGGCTATGATTACTTGTGAAAAGATGAGAAAATGAATTGGTGCTAATCAACAAATTCAGTAACCAAAATCTACAATGAATTCAAATTCAAGTGAATGAGAATCAATATGCTTTAAAGAGCTTGAAGACAAAGTTTAAGGAGAACTGAGAAGTTTCATCTTCAGAGGCAGTAGGTCCTTTATATTATTTTGATGGATTTTAACCCATTTACCTCTGAGGCATAAGATGCATTCTCCAAGGTTTTTTATTCTCCTCTGACCTGGGTAATAACTCAGAGTAGAGCAGAGAAGACTGCCTTTTCCAAGCCTTCTGATCTCATTCCAATGGAGGACAAACATTTTTTCCCTCCCTTGTTTTCCTTCACAAGTCAAACTTAAAAGCAGCAACAGCAGTGATGACAAGCTTAGAGGAAAGCTCAGCTGTCCCTTTCAGGCTTGCCTTAGGGGTTAGTTTAGGAAGCTACAGTACAATCACAAAAGAAGTTTCTGTCTTTAATTTTGAGTTTTTTAAGCTTCACATTCAGAGTACAAGTTAGGTTATTGTCCTCTGGTTCTGTTCAAAAAACTGTTTTCTGATACATTTTAAAAGCAACTGTAGGTCTTTCTTCTGTTCAGGGCATGGTTATTAGGTGCTCAGCTCAGGTTTGGCAGTAAACCTGGAAAACAGCACTGGGTTACTTTTCCTACTGACTGCCCATGACAGTTGCAATTACCATCCATTGTTCATAGGTGGTAGAAAGTGGAGAGGATACAATAGTGTGTTGCCCTCTGGGGGTAAATGAATTTGACTTAAAGGTTCTTGGGGGGTCAGGCACAAAGATTTTGTAGTGCCCAGGAATGTAGTTTTCCTGCCACTTCAGAAGTTAGATAAAAACAATGACTTAGTTGTTTGCGCAGCTATTTTTTGAGGCAAATAAAGATGTAAGTTTCATGTTCTCATATACTTGTCTAAATGAGGGAGGGAAGGATATGTAAACCTTTTTATCTGAAACTATGAATATATTGAATTATTAGATTATTAAGGTTAATTTAAAATAACGTATTTAAATAGAGCTTTTGCAGATGTTACAGCCCTTAACAGTATTCACAGAGCCTTGGTGTGCCTGGAAACTTTTCTCCTCCGTTTATGTTAGCCACTTTTCATTTAATTTTTAATTAATTCCAGGAGATATGTGAGTAAATGAGTGTGTGTGTGTGTGCGTGTGTGTGTGTGTGTGTCTGCCCTTTTCTGAATATTTCATACTATAGCCAAGTGAGGACTGAGCTCTATTTTAAGTGAAGTTTTAAATTGCTATCAGTGAATTAGTTTCAGAGCATCTGGACAAATATTACGATCGTAGCTTGGAAGAGTTTAGAGAGTGTTTCTTACTGTTAACATTCAAAAAACAAAAATGATGAACTTTTTAAAATAGGAAAAGGAAATGGCATTTGATTTGGAGAGTTTAGTTGTCAATAGATAGTTGTCATACCCATTTAAAGTCAATCTCATTTGTCAAGAAACAATGTGAGTTACTAAAGGTCACCTACTTCCAAGAGCATAAAGTTATTTTCATGTTCTATTATTTTACCTGTTAGAATTTTTATTATTTTATGCTCTGGTACTTTCAAAATGTGAATTAGGTTTTAAAGTCACATTAAAAACAATCCTCTAACAAACACCTAAAAAGGACACTTAATCTGGTTTTGCAGAACAAAACATTTTGACTGAGAGTTTCTGCCAGCCCCAGTCAATATATGCTGTAAACTGATTAGCTGCCCAAAGAAATCATTTGTTTCTTCTTTAATTATCAGCCACATAGCGTAACTAGCCAGTGTACAGTGTCTTTTGCCCTTATCTATATCAGAAGCATTGAGTAACAATAATGTGAAAGGTGAAGAAACATTTTTTAGTCTCATAGTTATTGGGTGGGGAGGGGAAACAATGCCTTCACTCCAATTGGCAACCAATAGTCACACACAGTTTCAGCTTGCATGGAATTCCATTACACAGAAGGTCATTGCATTGGTACCTCACCTGAGGATAGTATCTGGGGATCCATGGCGGATTTAACTAATCTAAGCAGATCGTTTGTTTTTCAACAAAGTAATTGCAAAATTTGTATTTTGCTGACTTACTAGTTATTTGTAGAATTATAACACAAATATCTGCATGCAAAATACTCTCAATTGTTTTTATCTTGATAGGCTTATAAAAGCCAAACAATGTACGGGAGGTCACTTTAAAAAATTCTAGACAAGTTTCTCTACCTGCCTTATTTTAAAAATTTTTTTAGGGCCTGGTTTGTTTCCCCTTAGCATATGTGATGGATTCTTCTGACTCTGGTTACAGTGCATTAATTTAGGCCCACAAAATGTTGAATCTGTTTTTAACTTAAGTGCCAGGGGCATTTGATACAATGCAACAATTGTTTCTTTTGCATGGTTCTAATTTTGTGTATTCTAGAAGATGGGCTATAAAGGCAAACACCAAACACCTCTAGAACTGCCAATAAGGGATTCAAGGAGATAATCTATTCAGCGATACTGTAGCCTTTCAGAGCTCATGAATTAAAGACATATGCAGTGTAGATTCAGTGTGGATTAAAGTAGATAATCTTTTAGGTGGCATGTAAATGTTTGAGATAGAAGATATATAGAGTCAGTACGTGGCTTGAAAGGTATAATTATGGCTAAATAACATTAGATGATTTGAAAAAGCAGACTTGAAATAGGAATCAGATCCCAGGTAAAAAATCTAGTAAGGGATCCTATAAGTTTCGTAAATTAAAAACATGAAAACTAACATTTCGGCATTTCAATATATAAGGGTTTCTATCACTTCGAAAGTTGTTTCAAAGGTGTTCTTTTAAAATCTAGTAAAGATTTAAGAATCACGTGGTTTATGAATAGTAATCTTGTGATTATTACATTTGTACATTAACCTAAAACATGTCTGTACATTTTTATAAAGGGGTTGGAAATGTTGATTAATTTCTGAGAGAACTGTTGGATCTGGAATTTGTTCAATGCAAGAGTCAGCCATAAGGAAGGTACATAACGTATAGTCATTTCCTTCTAAATAAAGTAAATGTTTAATGTTTTTAATCTACTAAGCTTGTTTTATAGTTCCTCTGTAGTTTCTTATGAGTAATGTTTTCACTTTTTGTAAAAACTATTTCACAAGAACTAAAGAAAGACTGCTGGCATATAGAATATAAGTTTTCAAAATAAGTTTGGCAATGTCTATAAAAGCAAAGAGTAACTACATTTTCTATAAACCAGTGACTTGCTCTGTCTCATGATGCCAGTGTCCTCATGCCAGTGTGTAAATACAACTGGCGATCGTAAGAAAAGGATAGGCCACTATATCTCACTTGATTTGTATATTGATAGTCCAGTCCACAATTAGGAAGTACTTTGTACTTTTTGAAGTACTTAGTAATGTGCGTTTTAAACATAAGGTTGATCAAATACTAAACTCTAACATATTTGATCTGGGCTTTATATTGGAAAAAATGTTCTCCTCAACATTTTTCTCATTTAAAAATGCCTTCATTCATTCAAAAAAATGACCTGAGAAGTGTAAAGATTCTAAATTAAAATAATTATAAACACATTATCTGTTTTCTTGTAGATATGAATTCCAAAGCTTGTTTAAATATTCTACAGAATATTGGGTAATGCAATTAACCTAAAAGCTTTTCCTGTTGGTACTAAAATTTACTAGGAAAGCACGCTGTAGCCAAAGTGATTCGATGTTACATGGGCTGATTCTTCCAAGTACTTGTGGAAATTGGGCTATACCACTTTTGGTTTATTTCCTCATCTACTCATGTTTAGCAAGTTGACAATTATGATTTATTGCCTGCTAATTGGTGGACATCTTTATACAGGCACAATGTAAACCTCTTTCTTCTAAAATTATTGTGACGAAGTCATTTAATTCTGATTTTACATACA